TGATCTATGAGTCACAATTGAAATCCTGGAGATCCCTGGAGGGTCTGATTGCTTCATTATTTTTAATTGCTGGGATTGATTAAACAGGGATTAGAAAACATAGTGAAGCAGTTACTTGCTTTCATTTACAAATTAAAATACTTCCCCTTGATCCTATTTTTAGGATCTTTTATGTACCTTTTGCTTTCAAAAGTACCCAGGGGATGACAGCATGCTATATAACCCTTTTGAATCTAAATGAAAATAATATTAGGAAGCCATCTTTGTATAATATTCTTCTAGTTATTTTTATGGGTTTTGGCTGTTTATTTTTTTTCTTCACCATTTATCCTCCATACCTTCTTCCACTTCCTCCTACCTCCCCCCAACACACACACACACAATCACCACACTGCTGTCTAGGTCCTTAAATGTTTATTTGTGAGCAGATGGTTGGATTTGCAAAATATTGATCTCAAAAAATCTCACATTAATGGAATATGAATGACTACCTCTTTGTGTCTGAACACAATGGGGTAAAAGTTGTAAGACATGCATTTCACTAGACACGGTGGCCCTGGATTGGGGATTAAAGCAAACGTAACCTGTGCACTTGGTTCTCATGCCGACAGGGAAGATCCCTTGAAAGATTTAGTTATAATTTTTGCACGAAGGAATGCCAAACAGTAGAGAATTACATAACAACATTTCATGAGTTTTCTGAATTGCTCAGTTTCAGGAATGGCTTGTTATCCCATTTAAATGTATGATTTTGCCCATGCAATCTCTATGTTTAGTGGCATCCAACCCTATCATGGGGTAAGTGAGGGGGGAAGCTGAGAAGGCGCTGGGTCTGGGTGGAGGAGGGAGCCACCTCCTAGGGCATTGCATGAAGCTGTGATAAAATTCCCCATCACGGGTAGGAAATGTTCTTATAGAACATTTAGTATAGAACATCTAGTTAATATTTTAGCACAAAAATTACTGTCTTCCTGCAGAAGAAATTTTCTCTCACTGGGAAAGGTGGGGTGACACAGGGTCTCCCAGTCAGCGGGCAGAGCTGCAGCACATGCGACATTTCATGGTTTGTGTGCATGGGATTCCACAGTCAGTCAGCATCCCTAAATTAAAGGCACACGGCAGGGAGGCGGGGGAGGGGATGCTCAAGACATAGGTGAGGACTTTAACTCAAGACGTGAGGGCAGGCAGATTGCAAGAGAGATGTTGGGTGGGGAGAGTGCGTGTTCAAATTAATTAAGGTCGATATGTTCAAGGTCAATGAAGTTTTTACTGCCTTATGGGTTTGTTGGTGACTAGAGCCAGAAAGTTCCTGTAGTTTATTGCTGTGTGTGGATGAGGGTGTGGAGGCAGGGGTGAGAGCAGGTTGTAGAGGGCTGAAGGATGATCAAGGTGGAGACAGAAAGCATATATAAGTAGCATCTTCACTAACTAAGGTTATGAAGACACCAAGAGCAGGTGTTCCATAGCTGAAAGGGATTGTGGGGACAAAAGAATGATTTATTTTCATGTTGTTTGCTTTTTAAAAAGCGAGACCTGAGCATGATTACTTTCTCACTTAGGCAAAGAACCAGGAAAAGGGGGATTTTAAGATGTAGGCAGCAGAGGGAGATGGGCCTGGAAGAGCCATTATGTACGAAGCAGGTGTCAGCTTGCTGCATCCCGCTGGGCACCACTGAGATGCACACCCCTTAGCTCCCAGTAGTGGCTGGTTGTCGGGCTGGAAGTTCCATGTTATAATATGATTATGAAATTGTAAATATGTACACTTCACTTGTGACAGTGATGACAGGGATTTCCCCCTCTTATCTCACTGTGTAAGATTTCCTTTTTTACACTTCTAGGATCCTTAAAATACAGCCCAGCGGGTCCAGTCAATATGAGAGATGGTTTGCAACCTGATTCTAATTGATTTTGAGGTTAACAAATTATTAGAAATTGGACCAGTTTGAAATCAAAATAAGTTTTAAAATATATTTTTGTTGATTTCAGAGAGGGAGAGGAGAGAGAGATAGAAGCATCAATGATGAGAAAGAATCATTGATCCACTGCCTCCTGCATGCAACCCCCCCCCCCACTGGGGATTGAGCCTACAACCCAGGCATGTGCCCTGGCCAGAATCAAACCGTGACCTCCTGGTTCATAGGTTGATGCTCAATCACTGAGCCACAATAGCCGGGCTGAAATAAAAATAAATTGATCACAAGAAAACCCCTTTAAAGTATTACATTTATGACTGTAAGAAACTTTAGTGTGTTTTTAGCCCAACCATCAAGCTTGCCTATTTCTTTAGTTATCATCTCTACAAATTCCTCCTTTCACACACTCTACCATAGTAACTAGTATCTCTTTAAGGTCAAACTTGAAGCACAAAAGCAGAGGCTTTCTCAATAGAAACAATGACTTGATTTGTGTGTATCCTTCCATTTGTAGGTGACATTATTAAACTTCATGATAACGTCAGAGGGAATGCAGGACCAGCTGTTGGGAATTGTGGTGGCGCGAGAAAGGCCGGACCTTGAGGAGGAAAAACAAGCCCTGATACTGCAAGGAGCCGAAAACAAAAGGTTTTAAACACTACGACATACAGAATTATCTTTCCTTGTCCCAAGATCACTTTGAATCAATGGAAGTGCATTTTAAAGATCTATCCTATATAATAAAAGGCTTACATGCAAATCAACTGAACAGCTGAACAACAGGTTGCTATGACATGGACTCACCACTTGGTGATCAGTGCGCTCCCTCAGGGGGAGCATGGCTCAGCCAGGAGCCAGGCTCATGGCTGGCAAGCTCAGCGGAGGTGGCAGGAGCCTCTCCTGTGCAGCGCTAAGGATGTCCGACTGCCAGCTTAGGCCCGCTACCCACTGAAAGCAGGCCTAAGCTGTCAGTTGGACATCCCCTGAGGGGTCCCGGATTGCGAGAGGGCGCAGGCCAGGCTGAGGGACCCCCCGCCCCAGTGCACTAATTTCATGTACTGGGCCTCTAGTTATGTTATATTAAACAGGTGCGTTGAATAGGAAGATTTAAGAGGAAAATATAAGGTATTACAGAGCTTCTATGCGACCTTGGAAAATGCATTACCGAGTATATTTTCACAGGCAAGTTCTTAGGCACTGGAAGAAGTAGGAGGCAATGTGTTTCCCACTTGTCAATGACGCTTTAGCACAAAAGCTTTAGTATTTATTGTGTAAGGGAGCTCACCTGTTTTCACTGGCGCACAGTCTGAATGGACATGTCACACCCACTGTCTGCTCATGATATCTGTATCTCAGGTAGAACGGGTACGGCTCGGTAAGTCGTGGGAATTTCGGAAAATGAATGGAGTGATGCTTCCTGTGCCATGGGGGCTGGGATGTGGATGGCAGAGTCGGTTGGCTTACCGTCTCCCCACTTACTGCATAAATGGCCATTGGAGAGCGAAGTGGGGCAGAAAAGCCTGTCTTTCTGACATTTGCGAGATAAGAAATCATACGGCATCACCGTTATGGTGTTTGTCCCAAATGATGCATTTCTTTAGGTAAAACAATGTGTACGTAAAGCGATTTCAAACAATTTCTTTTTCTCCTGAGAAAATTGTGTTTGATTCCAGGCAGTTAAAAGAAATAGAAGACAAGATCTTGGAAGTTCTTTCGTCTTCGGAAGGCAATATCTTAGAAGACGAAACTGCGATTAAGATACTGTCTTCCTCCAAGGCGTTGGCCAATGAGATCTCACAGAAGCAGGAGGTGGCCGAGGAGACCGAGCGGCAGATCGACACCACCCGCATGGGCTACCGGCCCATCGCCGTCCACTCCACCATCCTGTTCTTCTCCATCGCCGACCTCGCGAGCATTGAGCCCATGTATCAGTACTCGCTGACCTGGTTTATTAACCTTTTCATCCTGTCTATTGAAAACTCAGAGAATTCAGACATTTTAACAAAAAGGTAGGTGAATACTAACGAATGAATGCATGGGCATTAAATAGCAGTGGGTGGCTTTCATTGTTTTTCCGGGATGCTTTGATCATTGCAGGCACTTCGCTAAAATGACTAATCGTCATACCAGAAATAAGTGTGAGGGTTTGAAATGGAACAGATGTGACCAAATTCAGTCTGCCAGGAAATGGCTTACAGAGATATAAGGTTATAAGATAATTCTAAAAAGAGGAAACAGGGAACCTCATTTTAGCATTTGCAAAATGTACTTATGATTGGAGAAATGGAAAGAATAGTGCAGACCCCTAAGAAATATGACTCTTACCCTCTGTAAGCTTGTATTTCAAAAGTTACTAATTCACATTTTTATATACACATATGTAAACTTTGTCAAGTAACAGGGTTTTAAAAAAATCTCCTGTTGTGACCATTTGGTATATTTACATGAGATACCTAATTTTACTGGTGGCTCTTACACTCAGTAATGGAATTCAGACCTTAATGGTACGTCTGTGAGAATAAAATTTCATTTTGTTGCCAGTGAGATAAATTTTAGTTTGGTGTTAAAACATGTTTTTAATAGAGTCTAACCCAAAATGACTTCTTGAATAAAGAAAATAACTCATTGCAGCCATTGCCCTTTGTAACGTTCTTGATCAATATGAAGCAGATACCTGTTCCTTGGCTGTTTGTGCCCAAAGGAAACTCAGTTTAATAATTACCACTTGCAGTTAACACTTAAAATAATTGCTAATCTCCTGACATCTCAATTCCATTCCTGCATTTACGATGGTAGAATTTTGCTAAATGTTGAATGTTCTTAGACTGAGCATTTTCTTTTGGCATTATCATTCATTATTTGACAAGCTTTAGTATGAGACTAATAAAGGGGTAAGACTGATGCTTAGCAAACCGTTTTTCAGATGTCTGCTCATGAGCCAGGAAACAGAGGGAGAGGGGAAAGTGGGGTCTTTAGGGAAGAAATGCATGATGGTAGAGTTTAAATTTTGTTTTTACATAAGGATACTAGAGGTCCGGTGCACAAATTCGTGCACCGGTGGGGTCTCTCGGTCTGGCCTGTGAGATCGGGCCGAAACTGGCTCTCAGACATCCCCCGAGAAGATTGGATTGTGAGAGGGCACAGGCAAGGGTGTGGGACCCCACTGGTGCATAATCAGGGCCAGGGAGGGATGCAGGAGGTTGGCCAGCCAGGGAGAGACTGTGGAAGGGCTCCAGGTCATTTCTGGCCAGTCTTGCTCAGTCCCGATTGGTTAGACCCCAGCAGCAAGCTAACTTACTGGTCAGAGCGTCTTCCCCCTGGTGGTCAGTGCACGTCATAGCAAGCGGTTGAGTGGCCTTAGCATATCATTAGCATATTATGCTTTCATTGGTTGAATGGATGACAGACGACCAGACACTTAGCATATTAGGCTTTTATTATATAGGATTTGAAAATGCTTTAGTTTGTTTCTCTATCTCTTCCAGTATCTGGAATTTTAAGATTAGCATGGATTAGTGAAATTCAGAAAATAAAATTTTAAATGACTTTTCTTAGAGAAGCTCCCAGCCATTTGCATTATGGTAGTTCACTGAACAAGAATGTTTGCTTTTAACTCTAAAATCTGAGTTCCTTGAGGCAAGGATTTATTTATTTATTTATTTTTTAATATATTATATATTTTATTGATTTTTTACAGAGAAGAAAGGAGAGGGATAGAGAGTCAGAAACATCAATGAGAGAGATCGATCAGCTGCCTCTTGCAAGCCCCCTACTGGGGATGTGCCCGCAACCAAGGTACATGCCCTTGACCGGAATCGAACCTGGGACCCTTCAGTCTGCAGGCCAACGCTCTATCCACTGAGCTAAACCGGTTCAGCAGGATTTATTTTTTTAATGTTCCCACACAGAGGCACACAGTCAGTGATGTCTTGCTTCTCACTGAAGTGCCTAAATCTCAATCCTGGTTACAACAATAATACCAGAATGTTAGCATCTTAACTGCTTCTTCTTTAAAACATATTTTTCTTGATTTCAGAGAGGAAGGGAGAGGGAGAGAGAGATAGAAACATCAATGCTGTGAGAAAATCATTGATTGGCTGCCTCTTGCACACCCCACATTGGGGATCGAGCCCGCAACCCAGGCATGTGCCCTGACCGGGAATTGCTCAACCACGGAACCACACCAGCCAGGCTCATCTTAACTACTTCTAAGTCATGGTCTTTTCTGGAGTCTAGAGAAAAAAATTTCTTTGCTCTGTCACTTAAAGACACATTTTGTGCACAAGATTTAAAAATTAGAACAATTATTTTGTTTTTATAACAAAGTAGAACTCATCCACCTCTGTGACATCTGTTTATTCAATAACTGTGATGTAGACCCATACAATTTATAGAAAAATTAAATCCTTTTACCCAGATGTGAGAGTTGGATGAAATATAGAAAACAAAATATACCTTTTTCTTTTTTTAGTTAAAATTCTTTCATTTAGAAACAACAGAAATCATATTTATGACTACAGTTATCCTACAATTATAATCTGGAACCAAAGAGTAAGTAGAAAAGAAATGCATTTGAAAACATTTGTTGAGGTTATTAACATACTAGAGGCCCAGCGCACAAAATTTGTGTGTGGGTACGGTCCCTAGGCCTGGCCTGCGATCAGGGCCATCTTCCCTGGCTGCCTACAGCCAGCCCTGCCCCCTGCTGCCACCCAGCCCTGGTTTCCTGTTCGCCATCGGGCCTTCGGAGCCTGCCGGCCAGGGGGAAGGACCAAGAGGTTGGCCGTTCCTGCTTGCTCGCTGGCCCCGCCCCCACCGCGGGTCACCCTCTGTGTGTGGGGCAACCGGCAGGGTGGGGACCTTGGCCTGGTGCTGCCTGCGTCCCCCGCCACCCATCCCCGGTTCCCCGTTCACCACCGGGCGATGGGAGCCTGCGGCTGGGGAGAGGGACCGAGAGTGGATAGTGACTGGTTGAGCAGTTGTTCTGGTTGTTCCACCATAAGGGTCAATTTGCATATTACCCTTTTATTATATAGGATAGACAGAAACATGCAGGAATCCTCATTATTTGCTCCATGAGTTTTCATAAATGAGCACACCTGTGTCACCAGCACCCAGACCAAGACATATTTGTTTCCCTCCTCAGCACTGACCCTGCCCCAACGCAATCACTGCCCTGAGTTCCGACCCCCTGGGTCAGTGTGGCCTGTTCCAGCGCAGCACAGCGATGGACTGGCACAGTGTGCACTTCTGTCTGCCATCTGCGTCAGCCTGTGCGTGTGAGATTCCTATCGCTCCGTGCGGTGCAGGCTTACTCACTCTGGTTGTGAAGTAGCAGGCCACGGGGCGAGCATATTGGTGGGGAAGTATAAAAACAGGCTCTCCTGGCCAGATCCTCTCCACCACGCAGCAAAGACAGAGTCTTATTAGGGAATAAGCCTTAAACCAGAATGCTCTGTGCGTCACAGACAATCCGGAGGAGATTGCAAAGATAGAAACCTCGCCCTCCCTCTGCCAGCCCCTGGGGGGAGTGACCATGGGTGTCAGCAAACTGCCTCACCCAGAGGAAAAACAGATGGCTGCTGTCTTTATGGCAGGAGGCAGCGCAGGCACTCAGCTAGGCTGCAACCCTCCCACGACACTGGGAGGCAGGGCGCTGTGTCCTGCCCTGCAGGCATCGGAGGGACGGTCCTCAGTCTCTGAGAAAGGCGTTCCCGGGTCAGAAAGCTGACGCAAGCCCCACGCTTTCCAAAGCCCTTACGTGCGTTTCAGAGAGAGAAGAACGGACTTCTGATTTTAAGTTTCCAAAAGGAAATGGGCTAAGAAAACAGAGGGGCAGGACATCTCTGTTCTTATTTTCAAAAGGGAGCCTTAAACCTGTGATTTTTACATGTGTATTTGTCCTTACACTATAACACACATTTTTATTCGTTGGCTGTCGAGGACAACTTGGGTAGCTTCAGTTTGGAACTGTTCTAAATTGTTGCCGCCTTCGACATTCTTGTACTTGGCTTTTCCATGTAACATGTACGGTAGGCATGTAGCTAAGAATGGAGTCAATGACCACAGTGTGTACATGGGGTCCATATTAGTAAACACTGCCACACGGAGCTCCAAACTTTTAGCCAGGCTTGTTTATTTTATTTTTATTATTATTATTTTTAGTAAAATAAGGGTTTTGAATTAAGAAGCTAACTCCCATTCAGAAATTAAAGTTAGAATGAGTTCTCGGAATCCTTTATCTGTCAATCATTGGTAAACGCCAGATAAGCTGTGGACTTCAGTTAGCTGCCGAACTCCAGCTATATCAGACTAACAAATTATTTGAGAATCTTAACTTACCTCTCATTTCCTTTTATTCAAAGAAAAAAATGTACTTCATTTTTGTTTGTCTTCTGATAGTTATTAATGATTACTTAACTGTGCAAGCTAACATGTTATGACTACTATGGTGTATACTATGAATCATCTGGTTTTTATAAAAACTTTAATGTACCAAAATTTATTATAGCAAAATAAATAACAAAATAAATAAATAACTATAGCAAAAAATACGCAAGTACTGAAACAAAAATCTAACTAGGATATAGCTTTGATACACAGACCAAACTGAAATCTCTCTCTCTCTCTCTCTCTCTCTCTCTCTCTCTCTGTCTCTATCAGAAATATATATAAGTAAACACACACACACACACACACACACACACACATACACACACACGAGGTTTCTTTCTTTTTTTCCCACTTCTACAAGATCATTTTTTCCATGTTATTAAATACTCTTCTAAAACAGAATTTTTAGTATCTGGACAATATACCACTTTATGAATGTACCACAATTTCCTAATTGTAAGTAATCTATGTCAATCACTAGCTCTCTGGAAATGTTTTGTTCATTTCTATTATAATTTTTATAACCTATCGAATAAAAGTATTTAAAATTTTTTATTTCAATGCTAGTTTATTTCCCTTGGAAGATAATTAAGTAAAAATGCTTAAAGTGTTATATTCACATTAAGATTTATTGTGAATACAGATCGCATGTTAGCACTTACTAGAAAGTTGTTAGTTACAAATATTGTGATCTGCATGTTCTGAATTTGTGGTAAATAAAAATGCAGTTTATCAAGTTTTGTGATTTCTCCAGCTTTTGTGAATTTATGAACAGAGTAGCACATTACTAAACTTAATAAAGGAGCTATAAATTCTGGTCTGTTCATTTAACATATAATATGGAATATTTGGAAGTACTTATAGAATAAAGAAATCAAATTTAACCCCAAGAAATGTTTTGTTAAAAATAGTTCACACACCTTTAAAAGTAATAGATTAATACAGCATACATTGATTTCTTTTTCAAAAGGAAGATTTTTTAAAAAAAAAATCAGTTGAGAATAAAATATCTTCTACTGGCCCTAACCGGTTTGGCTCAGTGGATAGAGCGTCCGCCTGCGGACTCAAGGGTCCCAGGTTCGATTCCGGTCAAGGACGTGTACCTTGGTGTGGGCACATCCCCAGTAGGGGGTGTGCAGGAGGCAGCTGATCGATGTTTCTAACTCTCTATCCCTCTCCCTTCCTCTCTGTAAAAAAAATCAATAAAACATATTTAAAAAAATATCTTCTACTGGTATTTCTACATCGTGTAGGTCTCAAATTAGTGGACTCAGCTGCTTAGGCTCTGGATTGTTTGGGGGTGACTGACCAGAAAGCTGATTGGGTAACATACACCTAACTGGTTTACGGGAGGTTTCCTTCCAGCACCTTCTTTAAAGTGTGACACGTTGGTATGATTCACTTCTCTCTCTGTCGCCCCCCAGGCTGCAGATTCTCAGGGACCACTTCACGTACTCGCTCTACGTGAACGTGTGCCGGTCGCTCTTTGAGAAGGACAAGCTGCTCTTCTCCTTCTGCCTCACCGTGAACCTGCAGATCCACGAGCACGCGGTCAGTGCTGCTCTCCCGGGCAGGGGCGAGCCCATCACACTAACGCCGCTTCGTTAATTGACTGATTTGTGTATTTGTATGGGGACATAGGCAAAAAGAGTTGTAAATCATTACACAAAAAGAATTACTATAACTAAGGCAAGACAACACTACTAGACTGAATTTCAGAGGTGAAAAATTAAACACGGAGTTCATCATGTAACTATTATTTAAACTTGTGTATGTTTTCATTTAAAATAAATTAGTTTCTATTAGAAACTTATATAAATACGAGAGGCCTGATGCACAAAATTCGTGAGGGGCTCGGCCCCCACCGCCACGGCAACCACCTCTGCCTCGGCCCCCGCTGCTGCGGCTTTGTCCAGAAGGTCATCCAGAAGGACATCTGGAAGGATGTCTGGTCTAATTAGCGTATTCCACTTTTATTATGATAGATGCATATAAATGTACTAAGTCTATTGATATGTTTACATCAAGTAATAGCATAAACGGTAATGTTTTTAAGAACTTGTGCAAGTTAGACAAATCTGTTTGTGTTGAACAATACCTTTCACACATTTTACTAAGTTTGAAATCCATTCATTTAAAATAAAGGGAGCACTGTGAGGATGGAGGCGGTGTGTAAATTCAGTATTTTGTCCACTTATGTGTCTAAGACATTGATTTCATATGGTGATATATTAGTGGAATTCTGAAGGAGTAAAGGATTTATTTTTGCATTTCTTGCAAAAGTTTCATAACAGTACTTGATTATATTTTATGGAAAATAATTGAAAATACGGCAGATTGATGGCTTTCCACAATTTCTAGGGCCAGCAATACTCTAAGCAGCCATTTGGAAAAACATATATTCAAACAGAATATGTTCAGATTTTCATGTTAAATGAGTAATTCTGGAGAAGATCATCAAAAAGTAGTTTTTTAAGAGGGAACAATTTTTGAAAAATGATTATGATAAATACAATGGTTTCTCATTGATAAGTACTGAACTATCTCAGTAGGATAGGATTTCATATGAACCACACCTGAAACTTGAAAATCAACTGTCAATTTTTAAAAACAGCTGTAAATGTACTATTTATGTGATAAACTCACTTCCGACCCTTCATGCTGCTTTTTTTCTTTTTTCCCCCAAAAGATTAATAAAGTTGAGTGGAGATTTCTGCTCACGGGCGGCATCGGCCTGGATAACCCTTACACCAACCCTTGTACGTGGCTTCCTCAGAAGTCCTGGGATGAGATCTGTCGCCTGGATGAGTTGCCCTCCTTTAAAGCCATCCGGAAGGAGTTCATGCACCTAAAGGAAGGGTGGAAAAGAGTCTATGATAGCTTGGTATGTTTTCAAGGCTCTCGCTTTCCAAAATGTTTAAGTGGAGAAAATGTTCAATAACATATTCTTATTTTTGAAAACAAACACGATTCAAGGAAGCTTTACGTAAGCTGGTCAGATGTTAAATATCAAAGTGTAGAACCACCTTCTAAATCAGTGATTCTGTTTGAACTTCCAATTCCTTGAAGTGCGGAGATGCGTGAAAGTTGCATGGTCCGTAAAAATACTATTTCTGAATTTCCCTGCCAGGTTTTTATTTAGTATCTGCTTATACTTTTGCAGTCATCATAGCAGATGAGCTGACATTTTATCAAACAGCTATTGTTTAGGTTTTTTGAATGCAGGATAAGAGCTAAAAAATGTTTTCATTTCATATCTCATGTCATTTGAGGAGAAGGAAAAGCCAGTATTTCTCAAATAGTTTTATGAATCCCTGTCTGGCTCATTGGAGACTACTACAGTTAACACATCTCATGATACTCAGTGTCCCTTCTGGAATTCATAGAAATTGTTGCCTTCCCAAAGTTTTTAGGTACAAGTGCTAATATTTTGCCCATTCCCAGTTACATTTTTTTTCTATTCCTTTGTTTCTACTCCTTTGACATTCTGCTTCCCTTGGACTTAATTCACAAGAGCTCTGTGTGCGGCAGCTGGGAGGAGGAGGGAAAGAGGCAGGTCCGTGGGGAACATTTTGTATCTGGGCACGTACTTGTTGCATTACGCATGATGGCTAGATTGTGTCTACGCACGAATTCAAATATTTTGGACAGGTCTCTTTGGCTCTCTCCTTGCTAGTAATACAAATATATTTCCGAGAGATAAATATGTTTTGTGAGTACTTCGTTCTAATTTGAAATAGAAATTTGTTCACTCTACTGAAGCATGGAGATTTCTGATCCGAGATACTGCGTCGTAGCCTTCCCTGACGCTTCAAAGCTATAACCGTCGCCCTTTTTTCAAGGTTCCCCTCCTAGGATCTTGATTCCTCTCTTCTCGTACATTTGTAATTGCTCTCTTTCTTTTTTGGCTTTTTTACTGTGCACATTCTCAAGTATTCTTTATTTTAAAAAGTACCAAAAATTGTTCAAAACAAGAAATAACACAATAAATTTTAGTAAAACGCCCTTCTTTTGTAATAAATGTTTATTTTTAGAAATAGATGATGAGAGAGGCTGGTAGGTACTTTTACATGCCTTTGGAGAAATAAGGGGAATAAAGCTTCATATGCACATTTATTTATTTTTTCATAAGAGGGATCATTTTGTTGATTGATTACTATTCATATTGAGATTAACTTGCTTAGTTCATGTCCTGGTTTTGATTCCTCTGTGGTGTTCTTAATTTTCTCTTCATTCCTTATTTCATAGCTTTGCCCTGACCTAATAAAACTTACACCAGTATTCTTGATTTCATTTAGTCATTATGTTTTCTCTAAAAAAAATGATTTATAAGTCAAAATGCTGTGTTTGTGTTAGTTTTAGAGATCATCTCCCAAATAATGCTGAATTATATCTGCTGTCCTTTCAGGAGCCACATCACGAGGCTTTTCCTGAAGCTTGGGAAGACAAAATGAATGATTTTCAGAGGATGCTCATCGTTCGTTGCCTGAGGCCAGACAAGGTAAACGTGAGCTTTGAAAGCAGCTCAGCTCTGTGGGCTCCGCCTCGCTCCACCCTCAGCAAACCTGTGGTCCTTCTGTGCCCCGGTTGGGGGGGTGAGGGGGATGACCTCACTTCCTTTTCATACAGCCGTTTCCCAAAAGTTTGCGTATTTACTAAAGCCACACTAAATTCAGATCACATTTCATAGCTTTATTTATTCTATGAGGCTTCCTTCTAAAGTATGCTCCCCCAGTTCCTCACAGCCGACTTCTTTTATATGCTGTAAATCTCATTTTTATTCTTATCATCTCAATACAATTAGTCAATGATGTTAACCTCAACCTAATATACTAGAATTTCTGGTTCTTCAAATGCTATCCTTGTATATAGTTCTTTGTTGGCCTTTGGAAAATTAATAGGATATTATTTTCGAGACATTTATTATTGCTGACTACAAACTAAAATTTCAACAATTTTAGTTTTATTGTCCTCAAATAATAAATCATATAACCAACTATCGGCTGACCTGTATGTCAGCAAATTTTAGTACTCATCAATATTCTGACCTGTATTATGATATGTAATTGTACTCTATTAAAAGAAGTATTCACTTAAGTACAATAGTTCATGTCCACAGAGATATTTATATACTCTGAGAAAAAAGAGACATTATTGGGGGGAAAATTTGGAAAAAATGTCCTGATTATCCTCTGTTCCTACTCAAGTAAAAGTAATACATAATTATTTCAGCACTTACCATAGTCACAATTTAAGTTGCTAAGGAATATAAGACAAGACTTCCATCCTAACAAAACAAACAAAACAGCAGGACTTAGCTGGTGGAACAGTGTTTTTTAAATGTTTTCAGCCACGTCAGTGCTGACCTGGGATGGAGGCACTCCTTCCTCTTTGCGTCGCCACCTGTGCAGTGAGCACACGGAGTCCTTGCTGGACTTGGCCGGGCCCGAGTGTCTGTCAGGCAGAGCGCCTGGGGCCCACGATACTTTAGGGGTCCGTGAAGTTGTTTTCATTTCTCTTGTGATCAGAAAGTGTCACCCAGCCCGTATTATATTTGTAATGATACCAGAACAATTGTAAAACATAATTTTTAAGTTGTTTTAATGAAGAGAGGGGCCCACGATGTGCCCATGAGAGTCTAGGGCGGCCCTGCCCTCCGGTGCGGGGAGTGATGCAGTGGTTTGAGGGTCAGCGTTAAACCGATGACGGATGACCGCGCTGAAACGTCCCCGGGGTGGCCCTTGTGAAAAATGACTCCCCCTGAAGCTTCAGGGTCCGGCCTGGGAAGTTCCGCCTCAGGCGTTCATAAGGAAGGACAGGAAGTGTTTCCGAGGCTCGCCTGGTTGGCTTCCCCTTTAGAGCCTTTTATTAGAATTTTCAAAGGTTTTCACTTTGTTTTCTCAGCTAATAAGACTTTTATACTAAAATGTCTCCACATGTGCTCTTGACCTTCTTGCCTCAATATTGGAAAAACAAAGAACCTTCTGTTCCTGTTTTAATTAAATTTAATTAAAAGCGATTAATGAACCATTTCCCAATTACAGCCGTTTCATCTGTAGATATCTTTCCCCCCGTTTTATGTTTTAAAAAATTTGACATTTTAATCTGAAGATACACGGAGCTACCAAATAGATCAAATATTATTTTCCATATTCCTTCTCTCTTTAGCGTGTTTTTGAGGGAGCTGGGGAGGGGTTTTGTTTGTGTGTATGTTTTTGTTGTTCAATCAATTGAGGTTCAACTTGTGGTTTCATCTTTCTCTTCAGGGGTGGGGAACCTTTTTTCTGCCAAGGGCCATTTGGATATTTATAACCTCATTTGGGGGCCATACAAAATGATCCACTTAAAAATTAGCCTGCTGTATTTGGTCAAACATTTAATTAGCTCACCCCTAATGCGTTGGCAGGGCCAGACCACATGATTTCCCAGGCCTTACAGGGCCAGCCCATCTGACTCCTCCAGGGCGACCTCGTGAGCATCTTCTACATTCCCCACCCAGACGTTCCCCACCCATTAGCTGCTCTAATACTTTAGCCCCATCTTGTAACTCTCCCTCGGGCTCCCCTCGGGCTCCCTTGGCTAAGGGGTGAGTGCAGATATTAACGCTTCTCAGCAAGACTTGCGGTTCGTCTCTCGTCTCTCCTTCTGCACACACTCGGTGGGGGGATTGGCCGTACACCTTGCTTTGGCCAATAACACGTGAGCATCTGACTCCATGTGAGATGTTCCGGGCCCTCTCCTGCCATCGGAGAGGTGGAGTCACGTGTAGAACTGAAGGGCCATGAGCCGGCTGGCTAGCTGAGCCCGCGCAGGGAGCGTTAGTTGCCCATACACCCCGGTGACTTCTCAGCGGCAAGAATGAGCTTTCGTTGGGTTAAGCCACTGAGACCCGGAAATTGTTTGCCACTCGGCACAACTTAGTTTATCCCAAGTGACACGTTGTCCACATGTACTGTCACCTCTGTCATCCTTAATCTATGATAATAAAAGCATAATATGCTAATTAGACTAGACGACCTTCCGGATGAAGCCGGGGCTGTGAGGAAAGCCCTGGTCCCGGGTGTCTGCTGGTGGCTGGAGGGAAGCCTGGGTCCCGGGTGTCAGAGGGAAGCCAGTGCCGGCAGCCGGGGAAAGGAAGGCCTACTCTTGCACAAATTTCGTGCATCGGGCCTCTAGTATAAAATAACTATTAGTGTGCTCTGACATTAGCAAACCCTCCAATCTTACTGTTTCCAGGAACTCCAATTTCTGGTGGTCAATTGTTGATTTCGGAATCTATATATTTTAAAATACATGTGGAGGTTATGCTTTTAAAAGAGTAGTTTTCCAAAGTAAAATGGTAGCGTGCTAGAGAAAGGAGCCGTGCTGCGTGGAGCTAACATTTGGGCTAGTGCCACATAGATTTTATTTCTTTGAAATATCTGAGTCATCGGATACTAAAATGTCCACCAGGAAAATTAGCAATTGCTTGAACTCTGGTTTATGAAATACTTGATTTGTCAACGCAATTGTTGGGGTCTCCTTTCCGCTGCTCTCCCCTCAAAACCAACGCCACCCAGGCAAGAGTCCACGGACGCCAGGTTCCCCGTTGCTCGTGTTTGGAAAGATGTAGAAGATGCACGAGGTCGCCCTGGAGGAGTCAGATGGGCTGGCGCTGTCCTTTCAGTTTGATAGTCTATAAAGTCCAGTCTACCGTGTGTCCTTTAGCGAAGCAGCAAAGCAAATGGGTAAAGGCTGAGGTGAGGAAGGCTTGGGCCTGTTTGCGAAGTGCAGAGCTCCTGGCCACAGCTCTCTCCTGAACTGTGAACAAAAAGCCAATCAATCCGCTTTCACCAAGAAACGTGTCAAATATAAGTTAGTAAGTTTCTCTGGCCTCCGATACATCGTCCTTGCAATACGTGGGAAAACCTGAGCGGGAGACCACAGGCTTCTCTCCCGCCTTTTGGAAGGCGGATGCCTAGATTAACCTGTCATTCTGTTGCTGACAGATTTCCGTCACAAGCCTATTGCTGGCAAGAAGGGATTGCAGGGGCCAACCCCAGCTGTCGCCTGGCAAACTGAGTGGCCAACAGAGTCGTTTGCCTCGGGAGCGAGGTTCAGTTTTAACGCTAAGAAGGAAACACGGCCCAGGCTGGTGTGGCCCAGTGGCTAGAGTGTCAGGCTGTGGACTGCAGGGTCCCAGGCTCCATCCTGGCCCTGGTCAGGGCACTTGCGGGAGGCAACCAATCGAGGTGTCTCTCTCACATGGATGTTTCTCTCTCTCTGTCTCTCCTCCTCCCTTCCACTCTCCCTAAAATTAATAATAATGATAATAATAAAAGAAAATTAAAATATCCCCAGGTGAGGATTAACAACCAAAAGACCCCCGAAGCACCGACATCTGTCTCTGCTCGCCCTCCAGCGCCCACAGGAGACCCGCAGGGGCGCCCCTGCCACCTCACACTCACCCGCAGTGAGGCCAGGCACGGAAAGGCCGGGGCTTGCGTTTTGTTTGTAAAACTATATTATATTAGGAAAGAAGTCCGCCTGGGGAGGGAGGAGGTCATGAAGCAACGTCTTCCTGTTGATAGTTGTTGTTTTTTATCTCGTGAGGAAAGACCAGTGCGGGAAAGGAATCCTAAGGGGAAGGGCAAGGACGGGGCCGGGCCCCGGGGTGTTTTCCGGTTCCTGCAATGAGCCCGACATCTGTGCCCGTTCACAGTATCTAACACAGGACATAGCTTATCCGGAAACAACCTTCCCGGCGAGTTTATTCGTCTGTGATTCGAGTTTAGGATTTCTGTCGTTAGAATTCCACCCCCACAAAGGGAGGACCTGGACTTGGGCATCCCCTCCTTCCTTCAGGAAACACTTCAGTGCACCAGCAATGTAGGTGTGACCTTGTTCGTCAGGGTCCAGG